AGAAAGTGGCAGGTATCTTCCAGCTGTGCCCATTAGCAGATAAATGTTATTATTCCTTTATTAAATTTCAAAATTATAGAACATGGAATACTCTGGCATTCATTTTGTTCAGATACATGAAAGAAGGCAGTATGATTTCTGCTTTCTGGAATTTTTCCAGATTTTTTTTTTTTTTTTTGCCTTTGTCTGTTTCTCTGTGTGGCATGAATTTCTTGGGTAAAAATAAAAATGCTGTTTAATTGTTTCACCAATAGTTTTATAGCTTTGTCAGTTCCATTGGTTATTTTTTGAAAGATTCTGCATATTCTTTCAGATTTTGTGACTTTTCTTTTTTTCTTTGCATTCATCGATTTTTGTTTTATAATTATGTACCCTATTGTTAGATATGTAGATGTTGAATACACATTTCTGAACCCTATTTTTCCTTATTTTACGTTGATATATCCAGTTCCTTTTTACTGATATGTATGGATATGTATAACAAAATACAAAGTAAATATGTAATATAAAATACATGAAATATTTATTTTCACATCTTTTAGGTTTTTTATTGCTTTTAGTTCACATTTGGGAAGCAGTATGAATTAGATTTTATTTTATAAGTTGAGATTATATGTTTTTGATAAGAATTTTAATATATCATATTTTTTATGTTTCTTTTGATATAATGAAATATATAGGGAGGATACTCAGATTTATTACGCTTACAGATTTGGAGGTTGAAAGTACAGATAGTGTAGTGCTGAATGTGGTGAACACACCCACCCGAGTGCAATAGTGGAGAGATGTCTCAGTGTGTGACAGGAAGAGATTAAGTGGTGAGACAGGACGCCCGAGAATGATTCAGGAGTCAGGTACACTCTTCTAGAACAACTTTCTCTCTTGACAGTGCCACACCCAGGGTCATGCAGTTACTTCCATTTAATCCCCTCCAGCGACCCCACCTCTCAGTCTTTCTACCCATTGCACAGTGTAGGTTGTGGCCCAACCATCCTCTTAGCATATGCAATTGGGGGATCAGACTTAAACCGTATCCAAACAATCACAGTGGCAAGTGGTAGGATCGGATGTGCTTTCTGTGTGCCATTTAGTTTGCTGTGTGGGAAGCACTGAGCAAATTAGATGTCATTCTTGTTTTCATGAATCTTATATGGTAGTATTTTAAGTGATACTCTATATATTTTGATGTAGATAATAAGTGTTATTTCATGTGTTGTTTTTTTTTTTTAAGTTCTATGCCAATAGCATTTTCTTATTTGCAAGGATGGGGAAGTAAGTAACACAGAGTTATAAAATGATAGTTTGGGATCTAAAATTCACTACTCAATTTGTTAAATGTATGAAATAAAAAGTTTAGTTATGAAAGCTCAATGGAAACGACTTTAATTGTATTTTAGAGGTTTTCTTTTAAATGACTGTCATGTATGTAGAACTCTATATTTTGTTCTCTGTATGTATAACACATTGCCTGGCCCACAAAGTCCATAATTTCCAAATCAAACAATTTCTATTTAGAAGTGTGGTGCCAGACAATGCCAGTTTTACCTGAGAATGTATTTCCTAACACATTCTCTGTTCTGTTTGACTTTGTCCAAGAAACAGCAGAGGAAACCTAATGGGGTGTAAAGATTTCAGATAGGCTTCTAGATAAAGTTAATTCTAAGTAAGGTGTGATAGAAGATGAGAAAAGTTAGCAAATTGGAGGTCAAAGCCAAAAGAAATCTTACACAGTTCTCTTCTTGCAATAATACACATGTACCGTACTGTAGTCACTGGCGTATCTGTTGCTTTCCTGTAAGTGTATATTCTATGTGCTCCATGTCTTCAGTGACTGGTCTGCCCTGGATTCAGGAGGTACAGGATGAAGGAATGAAGGCTGAATTACTTTTTTAAAAAAAATTAATTTTATTGAGAAACAAATAGCAATGAGACAGATTCAAAACCGAGTAATAGGACAGTTTCAATAATTAAAACGTTGCATATTGTTGTCTTCATAGTGGTTATTCAGTACAAGATGCAGACATGATATCCTGTCCAAACACTATTAGTACAAATCTTTCTTCTCATTGAATTAGGAGAAAGTAGCTGTATATCTATCCTAACTATTTTGTATATACAGATACAAAATTGTCCTTCATTTGTATCCCCTTTTTTGTTTACTTTTGTCAGAGATGGGTATTCCATTGCCATTTAAATATTGAAGGCTGAATTCTGCCTGTCTTCAGCATTTACCATCTCTCATGCAAATAAAACTCAGTAACAGAATTTGATTGTCAGATTGGCTATAATAAGATTCTTTAATATATTCTGAATCTGCAGTTCCTAATAATGGGGCACAAATACTCATGTTCTTTGCTTTTATAGAATGAATAGAAAATTTGTGTGAAAATCCTATAGTAACTTAATATGAGAGGAAAAATTTGAATATCAACACTACATGCTTTTTTTGAAGATTCCATATAGTTTCCAGTATAAACAAACAAGAAACAGCCACTCATTCGCTGGGTTCAATGTCACATGCCTAGAATCTCAGCAACTTAAAAGGTTGAGGCAGAAGGATCCTCAGTATCAGCTCAGCCTGGCCAACTTAGTGACACTTTCTCTCAAAATAATATAAAAAGGGCTGAGGAATATTGCATTTGACTGTCCTTTTTGACATGTATCTGGATGCCTTTACTTTATAACTTTGAAAATATTTATTTACTCATATATTCAGGCATTCTGGAAACCTAAAAATTATTGTTGGTGAATATAGATGCAAATATTTAAATAAGTCATTTATTAATTTAAGTATAGTAAAAGATTTTGAGTACTTGATCGAAATATGTAACTTGCATTTATATTTGCAAAGCATGTGATAATTGAAGTTGTAATTGGATTGCTTGAATTTTGCGTGTGAGGTGTATAGGGATATATATATATATATATTCACCATGAAAGATGTTAAGTAACAAATTATGGAGACATACTCCTTTTATCACACAGTCCTGTTTAACATAAAACCTCAAGGTAAAGATGACTCAGCTGTGTTTAAACATAGGAATGTGAGAGCATGCAACTGCGTATGCTAACATTCCACCCACTTGTCTTGGATCTGCTTTGTTCAGAAGGTAATGGTGACTTTGAAGTAGGAAATATTGATTCATCATGTTGTAGCCCGAGGGATATTAATACATTCTCCTTTTTTTCTCTTCTAGCACACTGATTTATGTCAGTACATGGACAAGCACCCTGGGGGGCTCCATCCAGATAATGTGAAGGTAGGAAAAGAGATTTAGAAGCCCAGATTTAGCACTCTTCATGTACATTTTTTAATATTTAATATCTCTATCATAACTTAAGTTTTTAAGATTTTTTTTTTATAACGAGAAACAATATCAGAGTGAACTATACACAGTCTGGACCTCAGTTTACTTGGTGGAAATTGTGTTTCAATATTGAGTGTGTTTACTGGAAGATTTTTTATTTAGATCTTATTGTATTTTTAATTCACAAAGCAGCATTTGCCAACAATGAGTAGATTACACTGGCCCCTATTTTAACCCTGTGCTCAGGAGAGGGGAACGTAGTAGCTCTAGCTTAGAGCCTCATAGTATAGTACCAGTTGATTTCAATGTGGAGTGCTGGTACAATTCAAAACAAGGTTAGTATGAGTTCACCAGGCGTGGTTTTTCTTTTCTATTCTTTTGCTGTTGTTTTTCCCTGGTCCTGGGGCTAGGCAAGTGCTTCCCACTGATCTAAATGTACAGTTCCTTAGGTTTTCATTTGCAGGTATATATAGGAAACAGTTCCATTTTACAGCGCTCTTTTCCTTTTTCTTAAGCTAGAAACTTAATGAGTATCTGACAAAAGAACTAAATTTTTTGTACTATTTAACCTAGTGACCATTTTGGAATATGTTTCTAGAGCTTCAAGCTTAAAACAGGAGATTTCTGAGTTAAGGACTTTAAAGATACCAAAGGTGTATGAGAAAGCTTATGGATGCGCTTACATTTTGTGACTCAGATGACCGCATTTCATGATCGTGAGAACCAGTTGAGTGTCATGGATACATTTGAAACAAAATTGTTTACATTTTGTCTTTATTATCTGTATATACCACTCTTTGAAACATGATGCATTTTTTGTTTTATACTTGCCTTTGCTTGTATAGGTTTGCTCACACATGTATATAATTGTCCTTCATAAAAATACATTTTATAAGTTCCTGGGGCCTTGCCGGATAGCTCAGTTGTGTAAAGTGCTACTGGGCAAATGCAGTCAGGCGCCTAGGACTGCAGTTCGATTCCCAGCACCAGAGGCTGCATCAGAACCATCCTTAAGGTGGCCTGAAGCAGCCACAAAAACAATCTTTCTCAAAATTTTAGGGCTGGCCAAATAGCTCAGTGGATTAAAGCACCTGCAAGCAGGCTCAGGAGCCAGGGGTTCGATCCCTGAGCCTGCCATGCCGATCCTGCCCCCGGGCGCGCTAAAACTGCAATTGAGACTTGAGTGTGGTGGTGTGTGCCTATAATCCCAGCTCTTGGGAGACTGTAAAGGGGGATCATTACAAGTCCGATCTAGTGTAGACCCTTCCCTAAAATACAAAAAGAAAAAAAAAAATTCCTCTCTTTAATTAAAATGTATCATGAATATCCTTTAAAATCAATAGTGTACATGACTGTGTAGCTTAGTCTTTCCAGTAATTATGCTATTTGTAGTATGATTAAACAGAATTTTTGATAGTTTCTTAAAAAAAAAATTTTAGACCTCTTTGCAGAATGTTGCATGTTGCTATTATACACGAATATAATCAGTATAATAGCATTGTACTCTTACTTACCTTGAATATCTAGTTAATAGATTAAGTTATCTGTATTAGTAAGACCATTTTCCTCTACTCTTACTAATGTTGACTGGAATCAGTCATTTTCATTTTTGTGACTGATAAGAGTGGGATGACTTTTTTGTTGTCATTTGACTAGTAAGAGCACTAAGAACTTCCTCTTTTCCCACCATGTATAATTCTGTTTTCCTTAATCGCCTGTTCTTACATGTCAATTTTTTATACATTGTCCAATATTGTGTTATTTTTATTTTTTAATACATTGTAGGTGCTTTTTAATATTTGTGACATACTAGTGAAGATTTTTCAAAATGGGCAGTCTAGGTTATACAACTTAGAAATATAAAAACTTTAACTAATTTCTTAAAAATAATTAAATCAATGATACCTAATAGTCTGTTGATTTTTGTGCATCGTCTTTTTGTTGTTTTTAATAATAGATTTTGTTTGTTCAATTTAAGAATTTGTAATATGTTCATTTTTCATAAAAATATATATATTGTGTTAACAGATAAAAACATTGTTTTGTTTGGTCCATGCTGACCAGATTTGCAGGCCATCCTATGATGAAAGTTCATAGCTGTGAAAGCTCTCATCACAAAAGCAGAGCAATTCTGGGTGTGTCCCTTAAGTTCCTCTATGTCACACGGGCATAGTCCTTTAATTTTAAGAACTGCCTTATGTCTTTGTTGTTTTCTTTTATAGGGACTGGCTACTGATGGTTCAAGGAGGCACTGTTTAAAGCCCACATTTGCATAATATCCATGGTTTATTTGCCATTGATTACAAGTTTCATTGTACTATGTTATAATAACATTGTACAATTTTGAGTCTTTTAATTTACTTCAGAATGCTTTATGCGCTACTTTGTGGTCTGTTTTGAGAAAAGTTCCATGTCCTGATAAGAGGACTGTATTTCATTGTTGTTCGCTGGAACATTCTATGGGTATATTACAGCAAGTCTATTTGTTTGAAGGTTTTATTCAACTCTGGTACTTTTTATTTGATTTATTTATTCTAGTTCATCTATTTGTGACAGTGGGATAGTGAGGTTCCTTACTATAATTGTGTTTATGTTTACCTGATCTTTTATTTCTCATCGTACTTATTTTATTAAGTTAGGAGTACCGTTGTTGGTGCACATTGTTAACCGTTCTTTTCTCTTGTGGTTGTATTGTTCCCTTAATAAGTATGTAGTGACCTTTATCTCTTCTAATTGGTTTGGCTTGAAGTCCACGTTGTTTCATAATAGGATAACTCCTCCCACTTATTTACACATTCACATTCATGGAATATTATTTTCCATCCTTGTACAGAACTAAAATCAGAATTAATCAATGATCTCAGTGTGAAAACAGAAAACTTAATCTGGAAGATAAAATAGGTAAAACAGTGGAACTCATAGACCTAAACCGAAACTTTCTCAGCAAAACTTCCTGGCATAAGCAGTAGTACAGCTATCCCAGCTTGGTCTCTTGATTGAGAAATCGATTCCATTCACATTGTGACTTATTGGTGAAAGGTATTAACTTATTCTTGTCCTTGCATTATTTTCCTTTTGCTGACTCCTTTTCCTTCTTTTTAACTGCCTGGTTTACCTTGTGTGTTTATTCTCATTGCTAGTTTCCTTGTGTCTTTCTTTCAGGAATTTTTTTGGCATGCACAGTTGTTGATCATGGATTTTTTAAGGCATTCTTTTTTATGAAAATATCTTATTTTGCCATCAATTTTGAAAGTTAGTTTTGCAGAATAAAACAGTCTTGCTTATAAGGTTTTGTATTGTTTGTTCGTTTTTTCCAGGCCGGAAACATTTCACTCTGTCTTAGATACTTTTCTCTCACTTCAGAGACAAAACACCTGATACCCAGAATTAATGAAGGAAAAGTTTATTTAGCTCAGAACTTGTGGAGGGTTCAGTCCATACTCGGCTGGCTCCAAGGCGCAGGGGCACATGGCAGAGGACAGTAATTCATGGGGGTGGAAAACAGCAAAACAACAAGGAGGAGGAGCAGAAAGAGAGAAAGCAGGCCTTTTTCCTCCCTTATATTGTATGCAGGTTTCCTGCCTCAGGATGGGTGTAGCCCTCACTTCCATAATCCCAGCACTGGACTCTGAGTCTATCAGAAACCGTAGGAACCCTGCTGACTGCATGAGGCTTTGGGGAGATGTCCTTGCACATACCACAACATTCTCCTTGTTTTGTTGGCACTTAATGTTCATGTTGAAAAGTCTATGCTGTAATGAGTTGACATTTTTAGCTAATTCGTTGCTTTTCTCTAACATCTTTTAAGATCATAGACTTGCGTCATGGACATAGCGCAATAGCAGAGCACCTGCCTGGCAAGTGCGAGGCCCTGACTTTGATTCCTGCTATCAAAAATGAAAATAGAAAAAAATCATAGTATTTTGATATGATTATTATCTTATCAAAATATGATTATTAATATGATTATTAATGGCTTGTGCTCTGGCATCTGAACTGCAGAAAGTGGAAGTAGACAGTGCTTCTTACCACTTTAGTTTCCATGGGACAGCACTCACCTGCGTGAACACTGGGTTTTCCTTGCTGTCTGTCTGCCCAAGCCACGGCACTCCTCCAGGCTTACACTGGCATCTACACCATAGGTGAAATTGTTCTCTACGAAGTCTGACTATGCCATCGTGACTGATGTCCCATGGGGGTTTCTGTTTGACATATTAACATATTTTGTCATGTGATATTTATTGTGTTAAATCTATGAATACAAAATGAAGAAGGTAAGAATAATATTTACTAAGTTAACAGCTGTTTGTAATACCATGCTAGATATTGAGTAAGAGAAAACCAGTTGAGCTAAAATAAGACACTGTACAAGTTTGTGAATGCTAGGTGAATAAGAGCAGGTCCTTTTTAATAAATCTGACACTAAATCATTAAGTGGTCAGAATATAATAAATATTGAATATGATAGAGAGCAAAAAACCCCAGTAATCAAATTCTTTTGTTTCTAAATTAGCCAATGTTTACTTTTAGTTTCATTGCAATTCAGCCTGACTATATATAGAAGCATTTTTGACATCTGTCTGGGATTTTACAAGTGTACATTTTTCTTTGTTTGTATGTCAGGTATAGTTTATTACAAGAATGTGTCATGCACTTAAGAATTGATAAGATTGCTTGTTAAAATTTCCAACAATACAAAGATAATATACAATAGAACAACGGAGGAAAGAAAAAACTGGAATATCACATAATTCCTATTTTGTAATATAACATATACGTATTTGTTTTATAGTCCCTCTCTAGTTCAGACCAGACTTGAACTAGCTATGTGCCTCAGGGTAGTGGTTCCAAATTCATGACAATCTTGCCTCAGCCTCCTGAGTGCTGATATTATAGGTGTGCTCTACAATGCCTCGCTTAACATGGTCTATTTAATTTTGTACTAGTTTTCA